TAAGCTTAAAAAAAGAAATACAGGTTTTTAAGAACTTTTGTAAAAAGTAGGCCAGAATATTCGCTTATTCTTCGAAAACCGGTTTTCGAATTATTCGAAAGATGGCAATGTGAACAAAAATCGGTTCCCCATTTTCTAATTAAGAAAAAGTCGAATAAATGGGTTAATCATACATAATTTTGGAAAAGAGTCAAAAAATCAAAATTTTCAAAAAGTCGTGTCGAAGGGTATCGGCGCTTAAAAAGGGTAAAATTGCCCCTTTAGTCTCACAACGGCAATACTGGCTACAGCCAGATATGTAAATGTGCTTTCAAATGGCCAGTTTTTATTGTGTGCCCTTTATATAAATAAAAATTTAACCAATTTAAAATTACTTAGTATTAAGTGCTGAAATATTTAATTGCCCAAAATTAGATGATTTGTCAACTAATATTGAATTGTTTGCAAAGATATCCAAAGTGCAAGCATTTGGTTTATCTAGGTGATTATACATCAATTTGAAGTCAGTTGCTGCACAAGCAGAAATAAATTAATTTGTTTGAGAAAATTGGTTAAGCTATGCCTTACTGGGTACGTATAATCTACTCTCAGTGGGAGTTGCTGGGCAAAGCCATAAGATTCTGTAGTGATTTTGACTCTTTTATGAATCTAGGTATTTTTGAGATGCTTACAACAACGTTTATTTTCGGAGTTGAGTGGATTAAAAGAATAGGAAAAGACAGTTGGGCGGCGAAGTTATTACCAAGCTGCAAAATTTGACCTGGCAATTCCCACACTTATCGGCCATTATCGGCTTTCAATGTTCTACAAAACAAAAAAATAAATAAAAAATAAATAAAAGAGGAAGAATATTTCATATACGCAATGAAAGCCATAACCAAACAACTTGTTATTGGAAGTTTAAAATACTCTCACCGTCCTCACCCATAAAATTTCTGCAAAAAAATAAATACACTTTTTATTTACAAATAATACTTATCTGTTTCACAATTAAGTTTCAAATACAAAATGAACGGTAGTTAAATGCTTTTGCGGATGTATGCAAATAATTAATTAAGTGTTAATCTCTCGCTCGTCTTCATCAAATTGGGCAATTACAGGATACAAACAAAAATTAAATTCAAATTAATTGCAATAATTTCACGATTTTGGGACTAACACTGAGCCAGCAGCCAGCGGCCAGCGGCATTTCGTATCCTCAGGGTCAATTAAACGATTAAACAAATTGATTGATAGCGCTTGCCATTACCATAATTGCGCTGCAGACAAATTCATTCATTTGTTGCTGTTTGTTTTGATTAGACACATACATACATAAAACGCTGAATATGGCGCTGCAGCGAAGTGATTATTTCTTTGATGAAATACTAGGAGCAAACAATAAAATGGCAGGCTATTATAAAATAAAAAGAAAAGGAAAATGCTCACACAATAGTTAATGTATATTTTAATTGCACGGATGTTTCATTTTGTTTTTTTTTTTTTTATTTTCTGTGCACACTTTCGAGTCGTGTATTGTCGCGACTGGCAATGGAACACAGCGGAAATTACTGCACTTTTATGAGCATAGTTAGACGAATTGGAGTTGAACTTTAAGTTTGTTGTATTTCCTTTTTATTACGACTCAGCACCGTCAAAGCGAGTAAAGTCACGTTCGTATTTTACGGTGAAAAAAAGTAGTAATACATGGCAAGTAAGACAATTTTTCATAATTTTCAGTTATAAATTTACGAGCGTCGATTAGATCTTAACACGTCGCAACGCCTTCTATTAACGTATGTATGTGTATTCATACGATTTGTTTTTGTAATTTACTGTACAAATGTATATATGTAAGTTAATGTTTTCGTGTGTGTGTGTTTGTAGCTGTTAAGTTGTGTGTGTGTGCAACGGACTGCATTATGGTAGATTGCGTTTCAAAACTTTAGCAGAAAACTTCAAGCGGGGCTACGAAAGACTTGCGAGCGCACACGGAAAATTTCAAAAGCAATAGCGATGAAAGAGGAGATACGCATACGAACATACATACATAAGTATGAACAAACATTAGGGTGGTCCAAAAACCACTGGAAAATAAACTATTTGGCAGAATTGCTATGAAATCGGTAAAAATAAATATTTTTGATCGAATACGAATATTTCTCAATTTTGACAATTTTATTGAGCTTGAAGCCATATTTAATGACAATTATTGTGGTAAAACCACAATAGCTCACAAATGGTAGAAGTTAAAGCTGCTATTTCCGAGATCACCACATCTGCCCATCAGACTTCTTTGTCGAGTTCTCAAGCTCAAGTTCTAGGAGCTCAACAAAACTTTTGAATACGATTTGTTATTAGGCCAAAAAATAGAAAAAAATAGCATATTTGACTATGAAATCTTACTAACAATTTTTTCAGGACGTGCGTGATGTGCTTACGAACATACAAAATAACACAATTTTGTATATAAGAGATAAGATTATCTAATTTGAAAAAGTAATAAGTAAAATATTTAAGAAGGAATGAAAAATTTAACTTTACCCATGCAAAATACATATATGCAAAGCTTCTAAGCTCTGCCGCACAGTGGGGCAGGAGACCCACATAACTGTCATCAATTAAACTTAAGCTGTTAGACTTTCTAAAGTGAATCGAATGTTTTCTTAGACCTATCTAATATTAGAAAAAAAAACAATATTGATGAGGAATATTATTTTTATTACTAAACTAATTGTCGAACACACATTATATTAAAGAAAATGCACAATTTTGTTAAATCAAACGGTACAACAATAAATCATAGCTACTTCCAGCTTGCACTTTATTATACCCAAAATAATAGACTACCAAACTGCAGATTCCCAATCTTTTTAAGGAATCTTATTAAAGGGCTCGAAATTTGAAATTGAAGTTAAATTCTTTTTTAAAAACGGTTAGAAAAAGTTATACGTTAAGAAAATTTAAATTAAAAACTATACAAGTTCTACAAACCCGATTTTCTGTAAATACCCACAACAAAATTGACAAAAACTTTTTAAATAATTTTCAACAAAACACAAAATAGCCACGGTGTCCTTGAACCAGATTCAACTGAATCGGTCTGGAACAATGGAATTTCCGATTAGACTATTTTGGAGGGTGTTCCCGAGGTAAAATACGTAAAGTTCAATATCGTGGCAAGTGCCGATTTCAAAAACGGTAACTTTTTCGATGTTCAGGTTCGCTTTCGATAAGATTCTAGATGAATAATTATGGTATATATTTACATATATACAAGTCGATTCTATACATATTTATGCATATATGTGCAGGCCTGACTATAGGGTGGGGGTCTTTCCACCCGAGGCCGCATTTTTCCTTAAATTTAGTTGGAAGATAAAATTTATAAAATTTTTTAAGTAGCTACATAAATTTAATTATTTAATATTCACATAGCTTTTACTATATCCTATAAATGCGAAAGCACATGTCTATATAGATACACAAGCAAGTGTGCTAAGGTCATTAGTCAAAACAACCGGCAATCTGGCCTAATGAGAAACATAGAAAGGTTCCGAAGTTAACACGTGTTGTCTAAATGTTGTGATCGTAATGATTTTCCCATGTTTCATGAAACTTTTTGGGCTCGAAATTGTAGAGCGAACTTCAAAGAGATTCGAGGTTATTTACAACAGGGGAAAATCAAAAATCAATAGAAGACGCGTTTCATGCTCTGAGAAATAAATAATATAATGACAAAGAGTAGTAGAAAAAAAAGAATTAATTTTTACAATACAAATTCCTGTACAATAAAAATTCGTTTTACATAACAACCATAGCCTGGAATTGGTTAGTACCTAAACAAAATATTTATTAGTTATTCATTTTCCTATAACTTTATTGTGCAACGATATTTCTTTGAAGAAACTACAGTTAAAAAACACCAACAAAGAATTTACTTTAGCGCGATACTACTCTAAAATTGCACCAAAGTCACTAAAAGCTCAGTGTGCAAGACGTAAGCTTGCTTCACTGTAAAAACAAACTCTGTACCTTAGTTAGTATTCCTATTAAGTACTAGTTGATGGTATCCTGAAATCAACTTTTTTTGCCTTTGCGGTTTGAACGGCCTAGGTTCCAATCCGCGCCTACACTTTGGTTGGTGAACTTAATAGTTTGGTTTCGATTAGCGGCTACGCTTTGATTTGGTTTAATCGCGGGTGATATGCCGCTGTCTCTCTAGGCTCTTCAGCTGTTTCAGTTGCTAAATGTGTCGCTGGCTGATGCGCATTCACTGGCTACTTTCATCATATAGTCGACTACCGATCACCCTAATGTATGATGTTAACATCCATCTGTACATTCATACATATGTATGTACATATGTGTATGATAAGATTTGTAAAATCCAATGTGCGTGTATGTATTGAAACGTTACTGAAGTAGAAAATTACAAAATTAATGTACAATGACTTAAACAATTACTCGCATGCCATATGTGTCGACTTTAAGTACAAGCGAATGCTCCTCCAAAACATTATATACACAGAAGTGCTAACACAAACACACGCGCATATGGTTATTATTATAAAGAGTAAGAAACGAGAAAATATTATAAATGACTGTGCTGTGCAACTTTGCAATTAGTACACCTCAGCGCGCATGCATACATACCCCTATTTTGTTTTTGTAATAAAATAAAAAATAAATATCACACAAAGTTTTCATTTTGCGGTTGTGCGCTTAAAACTTTTTACACGAAAACTTTGTTGCTATTGTTGGTAATTACCGCAACAAAATACTTGCATACATACATACATACATACATATACACTCGATTCGACATCGTACTCGAAAATGCAATCACAAAAAAAGTAGCTAATTAAAGTTGAACGCAAAAATTTTTTGGTTGTCTTTTCTTGTTTGTGGCATTATTTCTATACCTTGTCTTCTTCTATATATATATATATATATATAGAATACCCTTTTAGTTTTTTGTTTTTATTTATTTATATCGTGGATAATTAAATTTTCACATTATGTTTTTACATTGTATTCCAGGACACACACAAAAGCTCTCACCCTACATACGGCATTGGGAGGCGGCGGATTTCGATCGCTCGTATTTGCACTCGGCACATCAAAAACACATCGAACAGAAGCGCCATCGGCGAAAAAGAGAACTGTATTCGGGCGAATTTGGTCCAGTTCACACTATCAGACTGAATTTCTTTGCTCATGACAGGTAAGTTGGCAATATTCAACTGAGATACATGCATATATACATACATACGTACATACATACATACCTACCTACTATCTATGCATATATTTTTCCAAAGATAACAAATATTAATGTTTTACTCGAAGCAGCTTAAAAACTTTTTAAAAATTGTATAAAGGAATTCCAATGAATATTGTAATTGTGTTAGGTTTGGTTAAGATGGTTGCTCCCTTGGACCGTAAGCGTTGGTACTATATATATAACAGCACCGCTAACGGTAACTGCTAGGTTAAACCGAGAATCACAGCGTGCCGATAACAAAGTTCAGCAGGCGGCAGATGTTAGTCCAAAGAGCTCCTCTAAACCAGTTAGAAAGTTCGAATGCAGTTTCCTAAGCCACAGTCTAGCAAAAGCTACGCAGGCTAAGGAACTGTTGAAATGATACCATCTCGTCGTCATCCATGCATCTGCGACAAAAGGGGTCTGTTGTCGTACTGAGTAAACCTCGATGGGACATTGATCCACCAGAATTAAGATAAGGCGGATTCGTCAGCCTAAGGAGATACCTAGACCGCCCTGGCCCATGCTCTGTTTTTCACTCAGCGTTCGCTGAGTTTACTGAAGACTTTTTTCTTAGCAAAGTCCGACTCTTTTCTTGACGATATTGACACGAGGGCGGCACCCCTGGCCAGTTCAACAACCACACAGTTTCCTTCGATATCGCCATGGCATGACACCCATACAAGTCTGACAAGGTAATTTTAAGATGAGATCGAAAGTGAATTAAGGCATTCCCCTACAAGCTTCGGCAGGGCATTAAGCCTGTCTGAATAGCTGTTAATCTCCTTACCGCCATCGCGCACAACAACGACCAAATGACTGCTACTTTAATAGCAGTAGCTTCCGCCGAAAAAACACCACAGTGATCTGGAAGCCTAAATTTAAGGTTCTAGCATGTTTTTTACGACCACGATCCATAGAAGTGGCGAGAGGACACCACCCTGAGACGTTCCCCAGGTAATTCTGCGCTAGATGGTGGCACCACCCCATTGGTTATGCGGTGTCAAGGTCAGCTTCGGCCCCAAACTTACCAGGGATCGTACTATTGCACGGCGGTAGTGCATTGTTAAAAGCCCGTGGTTACCGAGAAAAGCAGCTTCATTGGAGTCTTTATGTATGACGTCAATCGACGTCCCAATTGTGTGCAAGGCCATCTCTACTGACCATCAGAAATTCTGTGCCTAATTTGCAGCTCAAGCAGCCTCCCTAGAATTTTAAGCAAAAACAAGTAGAGACTGACTGGTCTGTAACACATGGCAGAGATGTCAAAGTAAGTGAAGTTTAGTTTCAGATAGAATACCTAAGTTCAGTTTGATCCGTTTAGTGTCACTTTAGTCGTTTCATCAAGTTATAAAACTCGGATTTAAAGGATATACTAACCACTCGAATATGATTTGTAAAATCCGAGGCACTTTCTAGAACCAGTCTGTATTAATAATTTGATCGGAAAGATGCATAATTAATTAATTTACAGTAATATATACTCTAACTAATACTGCTGTTTCTATTAAAAAAATCATACTTTTCTAGATTTTCGAATCATTCCATCTACTCGTGCATTGGGTTAGAGACTCATTCACTGCTAACTAATAAATTTGTTCTTCATATTGTTATTTCAGAGAATTTCGCATGGTTCTACATCAGAATCCACTGTCAGTATTTGCTAATGATGTCGAAATCGAAAGTACGCATGGACCAGTGGATTATGATATTTCTAGAATATACACCGGCTCATTGGAAGGTAAGCAGGAAACAATTTTATTACGTTTTACTAAAATAAATAATATACCCTATACAAAGGCGTCAGTCAATGTCAGTTAAATAAAAATGTAAAGAAAAAACCACAGAAACCATTTTTATTTTACATAGCTTTCATACAGTGGAAATGCTTAAGTTGTTATAACAATTAAACTATTAACAGTAAAGATAGCTTTTATATGGAAGAGAGAAAAGCAAAGTAAGTTCAATATTTTTTTCATCATGGTTGGTGTTATTTTAACATTTGTTTAATAGATACTTTATGGCGTTTTTTCGGATTTGTACAGAGCTCTTGCCGCCGTAGCCGAGTGCTTATATGTTCCTACTGCTACTCGGCAGGCTCATAGTTCAATTTCTAGTCCCAACAAAATCAAATCAAATCAAGCCTTTTCAATACCTAAGTTGTATGAAATATTAAAGTTTGGGTGCAACCGAAAGAGTGTTAAGAAATCTTTAGTTTGGTAATGGTTGTGGAAAGGCTTTATTTATAAACTTCTTGTGATGGGGTTGCCACCTGCTTAGAAATTTAAATTCGACTTGAATTAAGAAACGTAGGTCATAGAAATATATATCACTATATGGGTGTCAGCGGTAAGAGGTATAAGAAGGGTTTAGTTTGAAAATATTTTGATCAGGTTAAAAAGAGAAAAAAGTGAAAACCTCGAACGTTTTTGGCTGAGTTTAAGTATGCTTGGTATTATTGAAAGAAATTTCAAACATTCAGCAAAGTAGAGCGTGTATACACACATGCATATATCTGGGTACTCATACCAACAATCGACTTGGAAGCTTATCTTCATATTTAGATTTACATAAATTTTACTTTATTATCCGGTAAACTCTTCGCACCTTTTCGATAACATATTCAAATATTCTCAAACCTTCTATAAAACAACTTACAAAAATATACATATATCTATGTATGTACGAGCATGTATGTTCGCATTTATCTATGTTTGTTTGAAAATTATACAAATTGGAGCGCGCCTGAAACGAAACAGAACCAATAAATATCAAACACTAGGAAATCAATGATCTAGTCATGTCAATAACGTAATAAAGACTAGGAAATACATAGAATACGCAACGCTACGCAACGATACGGAAACAGAGCAAAGCTCTCGTATTTTTGGAAAATGACCATTTCCGGGCCTCTACAGCACTCGCACACAGTTTCGTGCCGAAGTGCTCTGTCCATTTGGTCATTCATCATCTAACAGCTTGGCTGGCGGCAATGACTGTGCAAATATTTGAACTTGCATTCTCAAATGTATACTCTGACTCACATGAGCACATTTGCACAGCATCAATTTGGATTCATATATTTATCTACACATACATACATACATTTCTGCACATGTGCAATACATACATACATATGTATGTCCATATTGGTATGATTGGGTGGGCAGTTGTAGTGTGCATTCACGCGTGTGGTCATGTGTATGCGAGTGTGTGTGTGTGTGTGTGTGTGCACTAAACAATCCACCTTAGATTGAATGAAAGATGTCAAGGACGAAATATTTGCATTGACTATAACGAACGCAGAGGTAGAGAGTTGTTGGCATTGGTAGTGGCGGTGGCGATGGTGGTAGTGGTTGCGTTAATGGCAATGGTGATGTTGTGTGGCATCGTGCAGCTGGCTGGTTGACACACTCGTTATGGATTGCTTGGAAGAGGATGCTGCAATGATTACTGCAATCGCTATTTTCCGTCGCCTTTGCCTTCTGCTTCGCCTCCATCATCGCATCGCCAGCACCTTCATTTCCATTCTCACACCATAAGCACTTTTAGGATTGTGTGCGCGTTGAAATATAATACTCGTGTAGCATTGGCAACTGTCCATTGCCGTAAACAATAACCACTTTGTGTTGCCAAAGGCAATGTCGAATGCAATATAGCTATAAATCTTACCTTCAACTCTCTCAAGGATTGTACGGAAATATACAAAAATGTTAGTAATAAAAGGAAACAAATCTAAAATCTAAAAAGCTTTGCATGCGCAACGTTTGGTACTTCTCTGATACTTACAATATCCATATACATATGTAAAATCTCATGCACTTATCGACAGGAGATTGAAATCAATAAAGTTTTATATATTTACAGACAAATTGTGAGAATTTTAGTTTATTTTTTTTTTAGTTTGCTTCACTGCGCCCTCGCAAAGCTCTTACGGCGTCATTCATAAAACAAAAAAAAAACAAAAAATAGATTTAAAGCGCTTCTGAAGTGAGGTTTTCAAACAAATTTTCGATCTATGAAACATAGTTTAATTTTTATGAATAAGGGTGTTAGCTACTATATATATACATATATATTTCCGAAGATTTTTAGTCCTGGAAATTTAATTTATAATCTTATAACTCTATTTTACATAAAGAACACTGTCTTCAATTGTGTATTAATTAAATATTTACTTATCACTTTAACTGAATACATTTTTTTTTTCAAATAGGTCGCAACCCGCTACAAACATGTTTTCGGCGGTAAACTTTTTTAAACCACTTTATTTAGATACCCTTATTTTAATATTTCATTTATTTCGTCAATTTAATAATTGAATAAAAATTTTCAGACAGGTGGCAACCTTCATCAAAAATATTTTTATCTGTAAACTTTCCTATACCCTTTTAGTTCGAAACCCATATTGCAATATTTAATTTATCTTATAAATTAAATCAAATTCAAATTTTCAAACAGGTGGCAGCCTTCCCCTAAAATTTTTTGTCTTTTGTCGACCATATTTCAATATTTACTTTATCTTATCAATGTGCATAAACTGCTATTTTCAAGCAGCTGGCAGCTCTTTAATTATTTTTTTCCTATATTTAAGTTAGACTTTTAGCATTGCATCGCTGAAAACCGCATTCGATTCCGTTAGTTTTCGAGTGATGTTGCTCTAATAAAAAAGAAATTGTTATCTTGACCTCTAAAACGGTTTTCAAAAGTTTAGGATTTTATTTTATTTTATTTTTTTGTTTATATGATACACCAGTCCGATTAAATTATATCGCTAGTGCAAATAAAACAAATTTACCTCAAAGCGATGGATGGTATGGTAGGAGGGGAATCACCCTAATATACATTTATGTACAAACACAAGTATGTATGTATATATATTCTTCACATTTATTTGCGTTGGGTAAAAGAAAACTTTTATTTGGTTGTTGCCGTAAATAATTTCCTTTTCTCGCATATGTAGTATTTCAATTTTATTTTATTTTTTTTTTTGTGAAGCATACTGTATTTGAATCAGGAAGTGATTGGTTTGCAAGTATTTGCATTTCAATGCGAGCATAGTTTGCAGGCAAGAAAAAAGTAAAATTGTATTCATACATCCTGCTGCAGTTTCCATAAAGTTACAATAGCAAAAGCGGAAGGAAGTATTTATTTGGAAAAAAAATATAGATTTTATTAAATGCTATGATCGGGGTACTTTTCATAAAAAAAAAATTGGGGTTCTTTTTCTTTTGATGCAAAAAAGGGTCTATCAGTATTTAGTTTAATAATCTAGTTATGAATAATTTGAATGAAATGAAATGTGGATTTGCCAGCAGCGAGCAAATAATCGTTGGGTATTTATTTGAAAACCACATACATAAATGCTGATGAAATTACAAGGTATTTACTTGGTTGGCTATTGATTAAGACAGATATGGCAGCACTAAATGCCAGCGAGAAAAAATTAAATTTTTAAGAATGTTACTCATACGCTATGTACATATGAGGAAAAATAATTTTGTTGAATAAACAGTTTTTTTCTTTTTGCAAGCTTTTCATGATGAGCTAAAGACTTAAAACTTCAAATATCAATGTTTTTAGTTATCGAATTTCATCGTATCATCGAAGTTCTTAGTTATCGAAATTTATCGAGTCGACCAATGTTTATTAAGTTATAGTAATATATCGAATTATTAAAACAGCTAAACAAATTTGAATGGAGAAATTTACTCGAACTCGAAATCGCGAACAGGCTAGCTGTTGTCAGTTCAACCGTTGTTGACCGGACAGTCCGATATTTACCCTGTAGGGAAAACAGAACTAGTGAATCAAATTTCTAGTTCAGTACTAGTTCTTTTTCGCCAAAAACGAACCAGTCCGATAGTAACTAGTCCCGCACCAGTCCAAAAGCAGTGAAATGTGGTACTTTCACTAAACTATTTTATTTCAAATTTTAAACGCAGGGAAGGTAATCATTATGAGAAAAATAATTTAAATAAGCATTTAATTATTATTTTATGAATTATTATTGAGTTTTACTTTTTCGCTCAAACGGAAATAATTATTATTTGATTTTTATTTTTGGGATTACAAATAGTGATTATTTTATGATT